CAGCAGCTGACTTGGGGACGCTTGGGGTTCTTAAGTTGAATCTGTATGTAAGAGTCAGCCGCTGGTCAATTTCAGCAGCGGCTGAATCTGGATGCCAGTTCCGACTTACATACAGATTCAACTTAAGAACAAACCTACAGTCCCTATCTTGTACGTAACCCGGGGACTGCCTGTATTGTCTAATTTTATTGTGAAGTATTAACTATTGAACTGGTCATTGAAGTTCCGTACTACAAGGAAAACTCTACTTAACTGTACGCCACAATCTGGTTTTTAAACAGTGTCAGAGCCTTCAGTGCCAGTGCTTTGAAAATAAATGCATAAATTTGCTCCTTACTGTTAAACGATTTTAGTAGTTCATTACTGATGAAATTAAATTCCGTATGAACAAAAAAGTCCATTTTATTAACATTGTGGTACCTTAAAGATTAACAGATTAATTTGATCATGAGTTTTTGTGGGCAAAGACCCACTTTGTCAGATGCAAATTTCTGATGAAGTGGGTCTTTGCCTATGGAAGCTTATACCCAAATAAATGTGTAAGTCTTTAAGGTGCCACAGGACTCCTACCTATCCCTCTGAGACGTATTAGAATTGGTGCTGCTGATCAGACAAAGCTGACACTTGATTTTGTGGCGGGTGGTGGTTTCTTGCCCCAATTTCTCCTTATTAGTGCACAGAACACACATTTTCTCCATTATAAAAGCAAAACAATGATTTTTTTATGGAAACCAAATATTAAAACATTTATTGAATTAGCCCAGGTACATGATACTAAGCCTGTTTAAAAGTGAATCCTTTGCAATAAATGTTCAAGCTGCTATATATTGCCTGGCAACCTTAACATTGTAACCCACCCAAGAGCTATGGGATTTTTTTTATACTTTTGAGAGGAGGGGAGATTGCACTTCCTTGATTGCAATATGTCTTTCTTGCACAATGCCTATATTTTTGAGCTAAGTACAATATATAGATTTTGATTCTTTGGGTCTAAGCCAAAGTTCATTGTATTCAAGGAAAACATTTCCACTGGTTACAATGAGCTTTGGATCTGGTCCAAAAATAATAGCTTCTAAACAAAATGTCCCCTCCCTGCTTACACTAAAAATGTGAAATACTCTTCCCTTTCATAAAGCATGACAACAGGTTCATCCATTAGAGCTAAACTATCTGGACACAGTTTGTACATTAAACAAAACTGTGTGTAAAATCTTAATCAGCAGAGCACAGCCTAATGAGCACAGCTGCAGATACCACATGGATCTTATTTAAAGCTAAATAAAGAGTGGGCAATCGGTGCTAGAACTAGTGGTGCAAGGGGGGCGGGGAATGGCTGCTGTATCCCCTGTCTAGAAATGATTTCCATCGTATACAGGGTCATTTTGGGTCAAAGGCTCTCAATATCCCACTGTACAAATGGCTCCAGAGGATGTGGGCTCTACCCTAAGCCCAAATGCCTACACAGACATTTTTAGCCCTGCAGCCCAAGCCCCACGAGCATGGTTTAGACACACCCTTAGTGCCCTGCTCAGCTAGTCAACTCTCTTGGGGCTTTCAACTGCCAAAAAGAGTGGAAGGGTAGATTCCAGTCTCTGCTACTAGAGCAGTGTTCACAAAGCCATTGCCAGCCTCGGCAAAGCCCTCAGCTTTGCTTCATAGTGCCACATTCCCCCCTCCTCTTGCCTCCCAAGACCTTTTAAACAGCTCTTCCACTGTAACATGCCATGTGCCTGTGGACGGGAGGGATCCCCAGCTCAGTACTGCTCTACTGTCCATTCGAGCTCACTGTCTGGCCTGCACCCCCGTCACATGACCCAACAATGCCGACATTTTGCCTTTTTCACCCAGCCATCCAAGCACCACACAGCCACTCTTGAAAGATAACAGCTAAAATCGATATTATTTCATATATTATTATTACTAAATTATTTAATAATATCCCAAACTAGGAAAATAGAAATCTGATAATTCTGCCGAGTTGGAGGGAACTGTATAAAATCCCCTACTGTACATGACTACCCTACTGCATAAAATCCCCTATTCTAGCACTCTGATTAAAGATTACTGCACCAACTGACTTCCATTCACTTTGTTTTTTAGAATACGCTAAGAAATGTTTTCAAAGTCCTGTTTCTATATCAGCAAACATGTACGAAGAAGCCATGCTGAACCTGAGACTAGAGATGAGTGAGTACTTGCCCAGCACAGTCTTTGTTCCTGGTTACTATGCAAGGGAGTGAGCTTCAGCTCCAAACAGCA